GACAGATGCAAGGCAGCCTGCATCGGCATTGGTCCCAGCTCTCCCAGGGTTAGTTATTATGGATGTTATTGTGGGCACCTCAGGATACACAAGCCTAAGAACAAGTCGCTTTGGGAGCCTGAATTCACAGGACTTGCAGATGAGACCAAACATCTACGTAAGGGATTAAAGAAGGAGTGGGAGATAGTGAATCATGAAGGAAAGGGAGACATTTATTTTACACAGTGGAAAGGGCATCTGTGGAAACTGTCTAATTGCTGTGGAAAACCCCTGTAGAAAAATCACTGTAGAAAATAATGGTTTGATTCAGAAAAGAATCTGATCTTGAAACAAAGAGAAAATAGGTTGACCCTTTTCATCTTTTATATCTTTTTATTTCATGGGGATGGGAACCTACCTAGGTCTGCAACCACCACTCCATCAGGCTCTCCTCGAACCTCCCAGCAAAACGTTTATAATCCTTCAGAAGGTTCTACATGGAATCCCTTCGATGATGACAATTTCTCCAAACTCACAGCTGAAGAACTGCTAAACAAGGATTTTGCCAAGCTGGGGGAAGGTGAGTAATTGCTGTCTTTTTGTGATTCTTGAACCTTAACTCTCGAGGGGTATGCCTATGAAAATGTGGGCTTGAGTCTTTCTGTCCCTCAAAGGCTTGACTCTGAAGTATGAATGCAAATCGATTCATATTTTTACCAGAGCAATGAAGTCTTTTTATCCTCAGGAAGTCAAATCTGTTGTGGGTGGTGGCAAGGAGAATGGGAAGCTTTTAGGAAAGATTGGGTAGNTTTTTCTCTTAAGTAAACAAAGTCTGGAGGCAAGTAGTCTTGTGCTGGTAGGGCAGCCCTGCTCCTCGAAGCCCTCAGGAGCCCAGGCTCCTTCAGACTCACGGCTCTTGCCATCCCTACGGTTGTGGCCATGACCTCATGGACCAAAATGGCAGCATCCTGCTCCTAGCAGCAGGACCAAGGAATGGCCAGAGAAGAAGAGAGACAAAGGGCATGCCGTGTATTTCTTAAGGTTTGCGGAAACTGCCATATAGGAACATGCTTATATCTCATGTAAGGCCAGAACGTAGACACATGGCCACACCTGATTGCAGGAAACACTGGGCAGTGGGGTTTTTACTCTGGTTGGCCCTGTGCCCAGCCAAATGTTACATTACCATGGAAAAAAGCAAATGTGAATCTTTGTCACATTCCCCAAATCCATTATCTTGAACTATTTGCTTATTCCTTCTAGTTGTCTTATTGGATTAGCTCATTTGCATACGTTTTATTGTAGAGAGACCATTTTGATGACTAGCTCTAATCACTTTTGAGTTCCCTTTACATATGAAAACCATCCTCTTTGTGTCATCACCCAAGTGTATTCTGGGAAATCCTAGAAAGTATTAGGTAAAGGGGTCCCAAGATCAAATAAGTTTGAGAAACACTGCATTTTATACAGTGTTCTCTTTGAAGTTCTCTGTACATATTCACACAGGAAACTGGAAAGAAATCCACTCAGTATTTTGATCAGTATGTTAAGAGGTAATTTACTCATGAAGTCTTTATTCATAACATAATAACATAACACCCTCTGGGAAATGTTGATTAAGCAGATCAGGAAGGTTTGGATGAGTATGGCGGGGAAAGCTAATCTTGTACTCTTTCTGTCCCTCCCCCATTTTCCCACACTTTAACATGAATCTTTGTTTTTTCTTTTCCTTTTCTAGACTGACAGATCCCATTCCCACCACAGAGACTTCTATTGCGCCTCGCCAGAGGCCTAAAGCTGGGCAGACTCAGCCGAACCCAGGAATCCTTCCCATCCAGCCAGCCCTGACACCGCGCAAGAGGGCCACAGTTCAGCCTCCCCCGCAGGCTGCAGGTCAGTGCGGATGGTTTGAAATTTGGGATACCTCTTTGTTATCCCAGACAATAGAGAAGCCTTAGAAAATCTGGTTTTGCTTCAGGGATGGGTTGCAGAGAGGCACAGAAAGAATAATAGTTTTCCTTGAGGAACAAGAGGTGAGCTGCCATTGAAATTGTACAGCAAGAGGCCAGCAAAAGGGGAGGCCTGTCATTGAATTCTGCGGGGGATCTCCAAGACCACTGAAGCCTGCTGTCCCTTGGCCCTGATTTTGTGGCTTGGTCCACTTATCCCATACCTACCGTTTTAGTTCATATACTTCTCTTTGCCTTTAAAGAAGCAAGACTCACCTCTTTTTGACATAGAAGAATTGTTTCTGTAATGCTCTCTCTTGAATTATCTGTCACTGCTCCATGTTTTGGTATTCTGTTTCTAATGAGGTGACTGAATTTAGTTTCATAAAGAGGACTGATCCAAGTTATCAAGTAACTGAACTCAGATATCACTTCCCCCACAAGGAAGCTGCTTTTGGTGAATTTGGTGGCCATCTACTTATAGCCAGGCATCCAGACTGAGGTTTTGTAATCTGCATGTAAGACATCAAAGGATGCTTTTAATCTGCAGCATGCCAACAAGTGCAAGGATTGTGTTTATATACAATAGCATCAAAAGCCAGCTGAATTTCTAGATATTCAGGATGCTGACTAAAGGAGTGATTGACTAAATGGAATGGTGAATAAGGAAAGACTTTCTGAAGGAGGCATGAATTGAACCTTGTTTTGAAAAATGTGAAGAACATAGTTTAGCAAGAAGGAAAGACCTTCCAGGTGCAAAGACAGTGAGGAGCACATGGATCTTGAGATGATCTGTCCAGTGATCACCCCGTTTCTTGCTTTGGCAAGAAAGAAAGCCGGTTTTGTCCAGAAGAGCTTTGAGCCCTTATGTAGCGTTTCTTCTCATTGCAGGATCCAGCAATCAGCCTGGCCTCTTAGCCACTGTTCCCCAACCAAAAACCCAGCCTCCCCCCAGCCAACCTCTACCACAAGCTCAGCCCAAGCAGCCACAGGCTCCGCCCACCCCACAACAGACACCTTCTGCTCCAGCCCAGGGCCTGCCCACTCAGGCCCAGGCCACGCCCCAGCACCAGCAGCAACTCTTCCTCAAGCAACAGCAGCCACAGCAGCCGCAGCAGCCACAGCAGCCGCAGCAGCAGCAGCAGCAACAGCCACCGCAGCCACCGCAGCAGCAGGCCCAGTCTCAACAGGTAAGGTGGTCAGAGTCTGGCCCTTGCTTTGCATATCTGAGTTGTCACTGTGGAAAGGCCCGCCAGGTACAGGAACCTGCCTGGGGAAGCCTTGGGAAGACAGCCATTAACCATCACATCTGTGCTTCTCCCAGATGCAGATACCATGCAGCACTACTGCGTAGTGGAGCAGTCACTGGATTACTTCCCTGTCACCTTTCTTCTCAGGCCGTGGGAATGCTTTACCTGACCGAGGAGCCTCAGGGAGGGAGCTGTTTAAGGACTCTCTTTTTTTTTCTTTTTCTAACATAATTATAATACCATTATCATACTGACAAAAAATAATAATTTCTCGTCATCACATGTCTACTAGTGTCTAACTCTTTCTCATGTCTTATAATTTAAGTTGGCTTGTTTGAATCAGGATCCAAGCTAGGGCCACATATTGTATTTAGTTATGATATATTTCTACCTCTCATTATCTTTTCATAATTTTTCACATATTTTACTAGGAGCATATTCATTTTACAATGATTAATATATCTTTTAAGTCCCCTTCTAACCATAGGTGCCCTCTCCCTCTCTTTTCCCCCCTTTGTCATTTATTTTTTTGAAGAAACTGGGTCACTTGTCCTGTAGAATTTTCCACATTCTGGATCTGGCTGACAGCATCCCTGTGGTGCTGTTTAATGTGTTTCTTCATCCCCTGTGTACGCTGGTAATTTCCTTAGGCTTGCTTGGTGTTCAGTTCAGTTTGATTATTCTTTGTTTGTCTGGTTATATCACACCAGGGGTATATATGATGTCTATTGTCCTCTCTTTTAATAACATTAAGATCAGTCAGTGGGTTTGGTGTTGTCCACCTGATGCATTCATTTAATGTTCTCCATCAGCTTAGCAGCCATTGCTGATCCTTTATGCTAAGTCCATTAATTCATTAGCAGTGGGAAAATGGTGATATTCTAGCATTCCCTGTTCATTTAGGGGCTAGAATTTTTTTATGAGGAACTTTTTTCATCAACTGTTTGATTATTCCTAGGTACTGTTTGTACAGAAAAGGCAGGAAAAGTG